GGCATGTGCCCCTACTTGGCATTGAACCATGACCTCCTGGTTCATAGATCGACAGTCAACCTCTGAGCCATGCTGTCCGGGTGAAAAATCAGCTTTGAATGTGTCCCAGTAGCCACGTTTGGGGCTATCGAGACCTGACCTCCCTCTCGTGCCCGCAGACCCCGACGCGGCCCCGGTGATCCACGGCGTGGACGTGGTGAACAGCACGCTGGCGAAGGTGACCTGGTCCTCGGTGCCGAAGGACAGAGTGCACGGGCGTCTGAAAGGATACCAGGTTCCTCCCCCTTCCTTCTCGTGCCGACTGCCTTCCCTGCACCACAGCTGCTTCTGGAGGGAGCCCAGAGCCCGCGCCGGCCGGCCAGCAGGGTGACGGGCTCCTGTTTCTATTGCAGATAAACTGGTGGAAGACGAAAAGCCTGGCGGATGGGCGATCGCTCCCCAAAGAGGTGAGCATCCTGCGGTTCCCGGGCCAGAGGAGTTCGGGCATGCTGCCCGCGCTGGACGCCTTCAGCGAGTTCCACCTGACCGTCCTGGCCTTCAACGCCAAGGGCGCTGGTCCCGAGAGCGAGCCCTACGTCTTCCAGACGCCGGAAGGAGGTGAGGGGCGGCCCGGGGGAATATGCCCACGCGGGGTGGCCCAGCGGCTGAACCGATGGTAGCGAATCTGTGATCCACAAGTTCGCGTCTCGATTTCAGTGAAAAATGACAGCGCATGGGGCTGCGGTTTGTCGTTTTTAACTTTCCAAGTGTCTGTTCCTGTTTTCAGTACCCGAACAGCCAACCTTCCTCAAGGTCATCAAAGTGGACAAGGACACGGCCACGTTGGCCTGGGGGCCACCCAAGAAGCTGAACGGAAACCTCACTGGCTACCTGCTGCAGTACCAGATAAGTAGGTAGACATTTGAGCTGATTCACCCACCAGTCCGTGTGTCCATGTTGTGTGGGGCGTTTGGCCCGCTCTGCCGAGGCCTCGTGACTGTCCGCAGGCGGCGAGCTCCGTGGTGGTGCGGGGCCTGTAGGGCTGGTGCAGAGGCACAGCCCGCCCACCGCCGGGTTTTATGAAGGAAACTTTATTGGAACACAGCCACGTCCGTTTGTTTATATTTGTCCAAAGCAGTTTCTCATGACAGTGTCCACGTTGAGTAGTTACGATAGAGATTGTGGGGATCCCAAAGGCTGACATATTTACAGTCTAGTCCTTTTCCAAAAGGTTTTCCGAACCCGGGGTTAGCAAAAACAACACGCCACCGGGTAGCAGGGAACATGTGTGCAATGTTTATTTATCAG